TTGAGTAGAGTGGGGACTATAGTTGAATGCTCTTTCCATATTACCCATTAGGATCTAGTGTCCTTAACCATGAAAAAGGAACAAACATTATGTTTAGTTTCCCTACATCCATATTTCCCCCACTCATACTAAAACACTGGATTTTTCATTTAAAATCTCATAAAATAATTGTTTTTAAAATTTTTGTGGGTATCCAACAGGTACCTGCGGGTTGAAAAAATGTATGGGTTTTTGTATGTGGGTATCTAATGGATAGTGAGGTGAGTAATAGGTATGATTTTTTCATGGGGGTCAGACAGCGGGTATGCATTATTCGTGCCCAGCCCGACTAGTTGTCATACCTAATCATATATTTAGTGTTGTCAAAATGGGTTGTAACCCGCGAGCCAACCCGGCCCACCATGGGTTTGAGTCGGGTTAGGTTTGAAAAAAATGTAATTTTTTTATGTGGGTTAGTTTTCAACCCGGCTCACCCGGATTGGCTCACCAACCCACCTAATTTAATTTAATAGTGTTTCAATATTGTTAGTTAACATTTTTTTATTATATTGTAGATGGGATAAAAAAAAGATGTTTCAAGAGAGAAATATATTATATATTTATCTATTCAAGACTTTAATATTATAGATAGACAATTGATACAAAAATTATCAATATTAAAAACTTATTTGTTCGTCTTTTGTGCTTGTTTTTGGATTACACTTAGATTGTATGATTTTTTTTAATTGTCTTTGGAGTTTAACATCATTTTAAAGTGAAATTTATTTAGATTTAAATTCAAAAATATATAATTTTTGTTATTTGAAAAAAATTTATAATTAAGTGAGTGAATGAGCCAACCCGTTTAACTCACCAACCCGTGGTGGGTCGAGCCGAGTTCAAATTTTTTCAGCTCGCTAATAAGTGAGCCGGGTTGGGTTGACTCACTTAATAACCAACTCGTGGTAGGTCGGATCGGGTCGAGACATGTTACTTGTTTTGACAACTCTACATATATTTTTTTCTTCTTTTTTATTCTCTCTATTTTTTATTATTATATATTTATAGTTTCATTCAGTTATTTCTTACTACTCTCATTGTTTTAGTGTGACAATGTTTTTGTCTACGCTAGTTATTTTAGAAAATTAAAACATTTTAGTTAGATAGATTGTTTTAAAATTAAAAGAAAGTTCAATATAATATCATTAGTTCATTAAAAATAATGACGTATGTTGTAGCATTCCAATTTTAGTAGCTCATAATTGATAAAATTAGACGTTATAAAATTGATACACAAAAACAAATTGTCTCAAACTATAAACATATGATATTAATATAGTCATCTAAAAAAATATAACTATAATAATAAAATATATTTGAACCAACTGAAAAAAAACTACTAGACGACCATGAAAAATACTTTACAACATCAGCGTTTTTCGTCAAAAATATTTCAACCCCTATCTCTCATTTGCTTGGTGACCATGAAACATATGTATTTATTATATCAACCATAATCAAACACCTCTTGCATGGAAGTAATAACAATATGACTCTTAATATTCTTACATAAACAATTCAAACATAATGAACCATAATGAACCACTCGATCCTCAATTCTCAATCCTCAATTCTCGATCCTCGATCTTTAACCATTGATGTCATCTCTAACATCTCACACTTAGACCCTTAGTCTATCTACCCATTAACACCTATGTTAATTACCTACTGTAACCATTATAATAACACCACTATCAACATAGCAACACCTAGAACATCTCAAGTTCCATGATCATCATCATAGATACATCACCATCATGACTATCCCAATCATGAACAACACCATAAGGATCACCTTACCATAACACCATAGTGGAAAGAGTCCATCTCACTTATGTACCCAACCTCATCGACTGTAGCCACTCCTACAACCCACTTATAGCCTCCCCTACAAGACATCTGTAGCATGCCCTACAGATTATTTGTAGCCTCCCCTACAGATTTGGTCAACTAGTCCCGCAATCCATTTAAGGAACATGTAGTCCTGCCACATAAGGACAAGGAACACATCTTTACCCCTACACAAGGAAGGTTCAATACCCGAACAACTCTTCCATTGTACACAAGGAAAAATGAAGCACCTATCCACAAATAGAACCAAGATTTACAAGGTACAACAAGTATACTTATCCTCCATTCTCATTCTCATCAATCACATACTTAGGTACATCCCAACACTCACCCATGCTCCACTCTCAACCATAAGTCAAACTGACCCTAAACATAACCACTAACCTCAAACTTTAATTATCATCATGTTCCACAGCTCCTCAGGCTTGGTCCACATCCATTCTTCATCAAATTCATAATTTTTCAACAAAATGCACTGTGACAATCAATTATCACTTAAGATAATCAATTATCTCAGTGAAATTTACTAAAAACATCACGCATAAAGGGATAATTGATTGTCATCCCAGCTAATTGATTATTCTTGAAACCACACTCAGAACCAACGTGCAGATAATTGATTATTGTCAAATCGAAATACATTATAGACATGCTTCAAGCATTCAAACATACATACATTAACCCTATATCACATGGAAACATACTTAACACATCATACATCCATTCAAGTATCACATACACACGTAAACATACTCAAACACATATAATACATCACTTGAATAATCCATATTCAATCATTGACATGTTATAGCCCAATAAACCCAATTATAATACATATGATTATTACCACACCCTTACTGAGGGGAAAAAGGGCCGAAAACAATAACAACTTAACAAAGAGTAATAACACAGTGGAAATTCAATCTCCCTTCTTGTGAGAATATGCGAAGAAAACCAAACAAATAGAGGAAAAACAAAATCCAAAAAGCAAAGAGATACCAACAATTTTTAACGTGAAAACCCCCTCAATGCAAGGATAAAAATCCACGAATCATCCAAACCAAAGAAAAATCCATTGTGTTAATAATAGGGTGCAAAAGAGTCTTCGATAAAAGCACCAAATGGGGTTTTCATTTAGTGAAACTAATTAAGCATAAATGCTTACAAATGAGAACAAAGAAGATGAAATTCTCCAAAACATAGTTGCTGATGTGAGACTGTTTTCTCCCAAACTAGACCTCCAATTGACGATTTGAACGGTCAGAACCAATAACCATACGTCTGGAACCCACTGTCCAAAAATCAGCTCAATCCAACGGTGAACAACTTCACAACGATGAAAACACCAGTGTAGGTTTTTTGTTATGCGGGAATGACTTCTTCTCTTCCTTTATCTCTCACTTGGCTTTTTTCTCTCTTCAAATGACTCTAATGTGCCCTTATTCTCTCTTAGTATCAAACCCTCTGTTGGGATAACCCAACAAAACACACATAATACATTCATAGGGAACACCTATAACAAATATTACCAAAAACCTATTCCAATGCACACACAAATCCTTGCCCAACAATAGCAACACATAATCGTAATCATAATCATATAACACATATCAAACAAGTATTTTCATGCAAGTAAATTAAGAATGCATAGCATACAACAAGCAATAGTAAGCTCCCCCTTACCTTGGTCAATACTAGGGTTTTATCTAACTTCAAAAACACCACAAATCCTCCTTTGCACTAAGGTTTTCTGCAACTGTTGTTCTTTTCTCCTAAAAAATGTATTTTCTCTCCCTTATCTTTCTAATTTTCATTTTTTTGATTTTAGGGTAACAAAATGCAGGGTAACAAAATGTTGACCCCTTTTTACTCTTTTCATTTTTATCTTGTTCTATTCTTCTCTATCTTTTTAGTTTTAATAAAATCTCCAAGTTTATCTTTAAAACTACTAAGATTTTCTCTTTTATTATCTCTTAACTACTTTTTAAAATATCATCAACCACAAAATCTTTTAAAATATATAGCAATATCTAATAATGATTTTCTCTAATAATAGTATCTCTTTTAATCTTTAATCCCACCAAAATTATATCTCCTATTTTCATATAACTACCAAATCTTTTAAAACATCTAACAATATCTAATAATAATTTTCTCTAATAATAATATATCTTTTAATATTTAAATCCACCAATATTATATTCCTATTTTCATTTAACTAATTTTTAAAATAACATCAACCAAATATTCTAAAAGATTTACATAATATCATTTTATTAAATATTCAACTTATTTAATTTGCATGCTTTTCATTTATGCATTTCTTAATTAATTTCTACACTAATTAAATAAAGATAAAATATTTTTTTTTCTAGACAAAAATATAAAAAAAAATAATATAGTAATTATGTTCTAATAAAAATATAAACGAAACTGATTTCCAAAAGAACCTAAAGTCTCAAAAACTACCTTATTGTTAAGATCTTACATTTACACCTTTTTAATGTTTATTTTATAATACAAAACTATGATAATTTTTATAAATAAATAAATTTATATATAATAATATATAATAATATATATACTTCTATGCTATTCATATTTTGGGGTATATATTTCGTTTTTTTGCTCCATGTGTGTTTTTATAGTGTATGATAAAATTTATAAATTACTCAAACACTATCATTTATATGTTCAAAAGTATACACATTAAAACATTATACAAATTATGCAAATTATAAACTATATTAATAAAATTATAAAGTTAATTTATATAACAAAACGTATGAAATTATATAAAAATAGCAATAAAATTATATAAATTAATATAAAAATGTAAAATTGTATAGAATTATAAATTGATTGTATAAAGTATTATAAAATTATAAATTGATTATATAACATATCTTAAAATTATATTAATCATGTAAAAGTAAAGTTATGTCAAGTATATAATTATGTAAAATTGTAAATTATATAAATTGTTGATTAATTTAAATAATTTTCATAAATTGTAAAATGTATAAAATCTAATTTTGAATGATATAATAATTTTATTTCAGACTAAAATAATTCAGTTTTAGTTTTATTAAAATAGTAAAGTTGTAACACACAAACAAAGTATTTCGTTAAACTTTAAACCCTAAAGTATCTATTCCTGTCTCCTCCTTGTTGCTCCAGCCCTCCCAGTCCTCTGGGTGTTCCATTGCAGCCTCCACAGTGTGAGTTTTCTCATTCTCACGATTTTGCAGTTTCCATCCCTAACCAAACTTTCATGTTCATTTCCTAACCAACTGTATACTTGAGTCTCTCTGTTATTTCTCTCTTGGTAAACTTTAAAAGAGAATTAATTTCAGTTTTTTCAATACTTTTGCATCCTTTCTGAACTTCTGCTGATTCTTTTACTTGAAGTATTCTGCAACCTTCTGTTAATTTCTTGTGGGCAGCTATTTTTCGAAATTGTTTAAAACACATTTTATCTGCTACACTGGGTTAGGCTGAATCCTTTAACCTTGACCCGAGGATATTTTGGTTCTCTTTTACGGTGATTACTGAAATATTTTCCTTACCTGTATTATGAAAAGTTTTCCAATCACCTATGGACATTTAAATTCCAATTTATTGTCCAAATAGGTGTCTGATATGAAAATACTAGGCATGACTGACATAAAAGTATAAAGATTATATCTTCTGTCCTTTTTTATGGATAAAGTCTATTATGTGCTTTGAAACTGATTTAAATCTTTTACTGAAATTTTGTAAATTATTTTATGTCTAGAATCTCTGTTGATATCCCTACCTAATGGGAAAGCTGGGTAAGAAAGCCAGGAAGTTTGCGAAAAAGAATTTGCAGTCAGTTTTGAGGAACAAAAGAAAGTTAAATTCCAAGTTCAAAAGGAAAGCTTCAAAAAGTAAGAATTTTCTAGTATTACATATATGATGGTTTGATTACTCTATAGCACATCTTATCGGTGTGTACATGTGATTATTGGTTAGGATTCATATGTTTTATTATAATTTATTTAGTAGTTATATTGTTTGGAAATGCAATTTGCTTTTATGTGGGTGCACTAAATTATGGGCAAGATGTGTAATCATCAGTTTGAATTTATTATTTTCTGGAAAATTTGATTGTCACAGGAGATAGTCATGATATTGAAGAAAACTTAGAGAATGATACAATTAATCCATCAAATGAAAGGTAAATGGTTTCCTAAGTATAATTATCTGTTGATTTTATTGACACATTCACTTTGTTTCTGTTTCTGCTACACTCATTTCTATGTTTTTGTTTTCAAACAACCTTTTTCTTTTATTTGGTAAATTTTGAACTACGTGTGTAGTTCACACCAAAACATTGATTTCAAAGTAATTAAAAATTCCATGAAATTCTATAATTCTAATAGATGAAAATGATGGGTGATAATTTGATAGCAAAATTTCAAGAATTAAAAAAAAAAGAAAATGCAGAAAAAAGGTAAATGCTTGCAGCCAATTGAAATTCTTATGGCCCCAAGGAAACTGAATTTGAAAACATGCCTTTCCCTTCTCTCCTTCTGAATTACCTATATAACAAAATTGTTCTTACTCCTTTAACAAACTTTCTTATTTTTTTATTTAAGAGCAAGTCTTTTTCCCAAATGGAGAATCAACCCGTATAAGCAGATCACTTGGATTACTCATAACTAACAAAATCATAAGCCTATCATAATCCATGGGTTTTAATACAATCAAATTCTTTAGCTGGTTGTACATGGTATCATACTAATAACTGACTGTTTATTTGATGGCATCAGAAACATAGTTGAAGGATTTCAAGACACTTCTCTTGATGCTATATTCAGTGAAGATGACAGTGAAGTTCTTGGAGATGATTCTGATAGTGATGGATTTCTTTCAGAGGTTTAAATTCTAATTTATTGCTAAAACACTTGTTTTGTTTTAATTTTTCATTTGCCTTAACTATTGTATATTTCATGTACTGATTTCTTGAGTTTGTGAGCAGGACTCAAGCTTTGTACATGATGCTGGAAGCGACAGTGAGAGTGAACATTATATTGAGAGTTAGGATATTTCTAGATTTGAGTTTAAACTCAATGTAATTTTCCTTTTTACTTGTTTCGATTATTCCTTGACATAAGTTTTTTTTTAGACAGCAATGCTTCTAGTTCCTTATCAGTGCAAAACAGGGATCTTTGTGCTGAACTTCTAAAGAAAGCAAAAAAATTGAACAAATTGAGAGAGAAGGTGATTTTCCTGTGACCGATGGTTTTATGGTGGATTTTTCTATTTAAAATTTATTTTGTTGATTGGAGAGTGGTTCATTGTTCCATAATTTCATATGGATGTACACCTTTTTATTTGATTTGTACTTATTTTGAACAATTATGTCATGCTAGTGCCTTTTTTCCTTTAGTAAAAAAAATTATTGGATAGAAGGGAATACAAATAAAACTAGGATAAGAAGTCACCATGACAGAAAAAGGTTAAACATCACTGAACAAGTCTAACAATATTTCAAGGTTCTGTCAATATAATATTACATGAAGTATCTTGTGTTTGATGTTGAACTTTGAAAGATTTTCTGTTCTATCCTACTTGAGGCTTACTAAGTTTTATATGGTAGTTGAAACATTTGCTGGTCTTTTTTTCCCCTTTCATAGTAAAACATTTTATTGGAAAAAAAGAACTACTTAAGTAAACGATAAGAATACTCTAAGACAGAAAAAATGTTAACAAACAGTCTAACAATATTACAAAGTGTTGTCAATGCAACAATAACATTAAGCATTTTATGTTTAATGTTGATCATGAAACACTTGCTGTTCTGCTTGAGTCTTATCTAGTTTAGTAGGGTAGTTGATGCAAGATACACATTCTTCTTACAGTGGGCTTGTCAGCTCTGCAAGAACTAAAACATGATAGGCCAAGGAAAGAGAGGGTTTAGTTTTTACTATTTTCTAAGAACTTGGAGTTGTATGTTTGGTTGCTGAATTTCATGTAGTGGTGTATTGTTTTTCTTCATTTCTTACCATTTTTTCTTTTATAAATTAGGTATTTGCTTCTGATTTTTGCTATCCAATGTTTCTTGTTCCAATAACTGACTTATCCTTTTTAAATATCCAGGACCCGGGGTTTTCAAAATTTCTAGAAAGTTATGATATGAAGATTGAAGAAACCCAAGACGAGGAAATTGTGAGTAGATTTATGCCTTATTTAGCATTGACAAGAAACACACACACACATATCATATACATATACATGAATCTTTTGAGAGATCATCTCTCAAGCATCCTTTCTCATATTTTAGTTTTCATGTTGGTACTAGAGTGGGTTGATCCTGCTCTATTTGTCATTGTTTGACGAGAAGCTGTTGTTTGCTACTGTTCTCATCGACCACCAACTATGCCCAATAATTAATACTTTTAGAATATTTGACCAACTTTGTAAAAGCTGAAAGTTGTTTTTATTGTACCTATCTGTCACGTAGAGTCCAAGGTGCAGACTTTTAGTATATTCCCTTTTATATGTTTGATGTAAGAACACACACACACACATCATATACATAAACATGAATCTTTTGAGAGATCATCTCTCAAGCATCCTTTCTCATATTTTCATTTTCATGTTGGTAGTAGAGTGGGTTGATCCTGCTCTATTTGTCATTGTTTGACAAGAGGCTGTTGTTTGCTACTGTTCTCATTGGCCACCATCTGTTGTTGCCAACCATTGCCATTATTTCTACTGGGCATCTGTTGTTGGCCTTTGTTGTCCTTGTATCTAACTTCTTTTCTGGGTCTCAATTGCTGGTGGAAGTGCAACCCATAAAACACCTCTTGGGGACCCTTTATTTTACGTTTCTCCTTCTTCTGAATGTCTTTTGGACTTGCCATTGTGTCTACTCTGGGAAGGGTAGGCTGTAATGGTCACAAGAGGTCCTCAACTTTCTTATTTTAAGATGGACCATACTTAAGAGAATTGCTTCTCTTTGCCTGGTTATCTTGACAAGACAGGCAACGTCTCCAAATTTTAGATTGTTGAACTAAAGTGTTTTGATGAAGAATATTAGGAATATCCAGGGTTAAAATCCAATAGCTCAACACAACCATTCACACTGTTTGGTATGTACCATTAAATTTCTCAAACCGTTGAAAGTCAAAGTTCATGGATACTCGATTTAGGTGCTTTTGATCTTATTTATAGTAATACTTCCTTGTTCTCTTCCATTTCTTCTCCTAGAGTTCCTCATTCTATTAATTTAGCTAATGGGTCCAAAGTTGTTTCCTAGGAAATTAGTCAAGTCTCCTTTTCTCCCTTAAACCATAATTGTGATCCTTGTTTCTACTTGCCCTTTTAACCAAAATTCTGTGAGTCAATTAATCAAGTCATTAGATTGTTTATTAACCTTTAATGCTAATTCTTTGACTATACAAAAATGTGGTATGGGTCAATTGATTGGTGAAGGTCATGAATCTTGAGGACTATACTATCTTGGAAGCAACCCTTATGTGTTCCTGTGTTCTGCATCTTTTAAACCTTTACATGATCGATTGAATTATCCACACTTATCAAAATTGAAAAACTTCTTAAGCTTGCCAAACATGAAGCCTCAGAATAAGTAATGTCAACTAGGGAAATATGTTAGATCATCTTTTTCCACAATTCATTCTTCCATTTGGAATCCAAGTCACATCACATATTTTTGGTTTAGACATTTTTTTATAGATGAATACTCTAAATTATTAACAAAGGATTGATTTGAACTTTTGTTTATCTTTGTGTCTTAATGAAATACAAATTAGTTTGTACAAGTTATCAAGATTTTGAGGAGAGATAATGCTGAAGAATAATTCTCTGACATTTTTGCATTAGTCTACCTATCCTCAAAACACCTCACAAAAATGGTACGACAGAAAGAAAAATTGGCATTTAGTTCAAGTTATCATCATTGATTAGAATAACACATGGAAGCTAACGCCTTTTCCACTTGACAAAAGATAGTTGGATGTCAGTGGGTTTACACCATTAAAGTTAAGCCACATGGTAATTGCCTTAAAGCTAGTCTAAGGATACACATATACTTGAATATGGTGATATTTTTTCTTCTGTGGACAAAATTACCACTGTTTGACTCTTCTGTGCAATGGCTGCTTTTTTCCAGTGGCCTCTATAAATTGGATAAAAATTACCTTTCTATTAAGTAATCCTAAATAGTAGAGCTACTATTTCACTGGATATGTTGTTATTTCATTTTCTCTAACTTTGAACTTTTTATCCTATTATCACTTCTATTAATGAAAAATTGACTGTTTTCCTATTTATGTGGTTCAGGGTTCGGATGATGGAAAAAGTTTAGATCTGGTGCAGCCACTTGATAGCAATAATGCATGTTCTCACGTGGGTAAACATTTGACAAGTGCATCTGTTTATTCATTGTGTAAACTAGTCAAAGAACAGAGTAGTGTTCCTGCCCTTACTTGTCTCATAAATGCTTATAGGGCAGCATGCCACAATGATTCTGAAGCAACCAGTGTCAGTGGTTGTGTCTTTTCTGATGGCATTCAGAAGAGTGAAACTTTCTGCAAGATAATAGTGTTCATGCTACAAGAGGCTGATGCTACATTTAGGAGGTTATTGGGAATATCAAACTCTAGTTCTAGGAAGGAAGCTGTTTTGGACCTAAAGAATACAGCAAAGTGGTTGTCTCTTAGGCCGCTTATTAAGTCATACTTAAGAAGTACTGTGTTTCTCCTGAACCAGGTCACAGACTCTGAATTATTGGCCTTCTCAATTTGTCGGCTGAGAACTTCAATCATTTTTCTGTGTGCATTTCCATCTTTACTGCACAATCTTCTTAAGGTATTCTTAAATTTAGTACCCACAATTTTTGTTTGAAGAGGAATAAAATGTCTCTCTATGTCTTGACATTACTTTCTAGTAGTAGCAGTATGTTCCATCCAAAATGACTATTATATATAGTATGTGTTTAGGCTGTAGATTTACTTTTGGAGTTTTGGAGGAAAAGTGGTTGGGAGAGTTAAGGTCCTCTCGAAAGAACCTGTCTTGAATATTTCTGTAGTTACTGGTTGTCCTATCAGTACCCACAATTTTTGTTTGAAGAGGAATAAAATGTCTGTATTATACAGACCGTCTTCACATTACTTTCTAGTAGTAGCAATGTGTTCCATCCAAATTGGTTGATACCTGGATGACCATGATTTGATTCTATTGATACTATATTTGTGGTTTGCGTTTAAAGTAAGCTTTTATATATGTACCTCCTTGACCTTTTTGCCAAGATGTGTGTAATGTCAATCTCATGACATGTGAGATGTTCCTTAACTTGCACTTGAATCTATTGCAGATTTCTATTCATCTGTGGGCAACGGGTGATGGGTCTCTATCATCACACTCCTTTCTCATTATACAAGATATAGCTTCTATATCTAGCTCTGAGTGGTTCGACTTCTGCTTTGTCAAAACATACAAGGCCTTCATTAGTAACTCTCAATCCGTTGAGCGGAAGTTTGAACATATACGTTTTCTGAGGAATTCCTTTGTGGAGCTATGTTGTTTAGATATGCAAAAGTCATCAAACAAAGCAATGGCATGTATATTGCATCTGGGTAACATATTGCAGAAAGGGTGGCAAACCAAGAAGAAAGTAAGCTTCAAACAATTTTTTTTTATTAATGTTAAGATTCATGAACAATCAATTGAAGAATTAACTTTCTACGCAAGTATTATATTACCACACTGAGGAAATTTTCTGATATTTTGCCTTATATTTTGTATTCAGGAGGTGGTTAAAACAATTTGCAGTTGGCAGTACATCAATTGCATTGATATGTGGGTTACGTTAATATCAGCTAGCATACATGACTATGATCTTCAGCCATTGCTTTATATGATTGTACAGATTATAAATGGAGTTGCTCTCCTGTTTCCCGGGCCTAGATATTTACCACTGAGACTCAGATGTATCCAATGGCTTAATAATCTTTCTGGTTCTAGTGGGGTTTTCATCCCTGTTACATCATTGGTGCTGGATGTTTTAGAATACAAAATTTCCAAGGATAGTGGGAAACCTGGCAAAGTATTGCAACCTATGTCTACTGTAAAGGTCAGAGATGAATTTGACAGCCCCCTCGCCCCCAACTTAATAATTTTTTTATACTTATCTAATATCACATGGCCTCTGAATTGTTAGCACATATATGGACCATATACTTCATTGTAGTTTACAGTTTAAAATTAATGCAGCTTCCAAAGCATTGGTTAAAATCACGTGGCTTCCAAGAAGAGTGTGTATTATCGGCCATTGAACTCCTTTCAGAGCACTTTGCACAATGGAGCTATCATATATCTTTTCCCGAGCTAGCGACAGCACCACTTATGCACATAAAGAAGGTCTTTGAGAAAATTTCTACCGAGAATTTCCGACGGGTTATCAAGCGTTTCATTGACCAAGTGAGAAAAACAATCCTGTTTTCATGTCTGTCTATTTAGAATATATTACATGTCATCTTGAACTTTGGGATTTAATTGAATGTCTGTAACGCTAGTTGAATCTTTAAATCACTATCACATAGGAAACTGGCTATCATTGCGGTAAGTTCTGTTAAGAGTGTAGATAAACTTGTGTTGTATGTCATTTCTTGGCAGCCTTCCCTTGCATGATGTTTATGCATGTTTGCCCTTCCCTTTGCCCTATTTTAAAACAGAATTTCAGTATAGCCTTTTCATCCAATCTCTTTTTTGCCTTTTCTGTTTGTGTTGGCTAAATTCAGGTGGAAATGAATATTGACTTTGTGCAAAAGAAAAGAGAAGATGTGTCTTTTTCACCAAAAGATCATCAGTCCGTTGAATCATTTCTTCAGGTTATCTCCCTTAAACTGATTTGAATCAGTCTTGTCATATTTCTGTGACTAAACTAATCAAGCATCTGATTTGGCAGGTTGAAAAACGAAATGGTAACACTCCATTTACACAATACTATAAAAACGTCATGAGCAAGGCTGCTTCTAGGAATTCAATTTCAGATAGAAAGGTATGATTTACTCAATCACTTGTCTCTTCCAAGTTTCTTTTTGTATGGCCTCCCGCGAGTCCTTACTTGGGATACCTCATCCTTTATTGCTGTATGAGGGATATGTCATTCTTGCTAATAGACATGCTTGAAATTGTTGGAAAAATTAATGTAAATTTCCAAATATTAATGTAAGTGTTTTCCAAGAGGCAGTGAATGTATTTTGACTTTCGGATATCCCAACTGCAATAATGAGAGGGCAGGTGGAGAAGGGCCAGTCCACAGTCCTTGTGAAGGCCTGTGAGAATCTGGACACCCTATTTTGGGAAATGGCAAAAAATGAGGTATCTAAGGAAAGATTGTTGGATGGTGGCTAAATAGGTGTAGCTGGACTGAACTCACTATGATTCATAGTTGAATATTTCAGCTAAGGAAACTGTCAAAAACTTTTATGATACCTCATATATACAAATTATACAGACAGACAAATACACTGCTGAATATTATTTACATATTATATTTACGAGAGATAAATTTAAGTTCTACTACCTACGCACATGAATTTAATCACTATATATAAACCCTAAAAATTTAGTACATGGACTTGAGCTTTGAAACGCAGCTATTCCAAATTTCTTGCAGTTTTCGACAATGCCATATCTTTGATTACTTTCATTATCAAATTTACCATTCATTTCACCTAGGCTTACATGAGTAATGACTTCTCAACTGTTTACATTTATCAGTAATACGGCTTTGCTGATAATTTTTTTTATCATTAATACTAGAATACTAAATTTCCTACGAAGAGTATATTCATTTTGAATCTTTTAAATTTCAATCATCCAAGTGTTGTGTTTCTAACATTATCCATGATTTGTGTGGCAGGCTCCAGGCAAGGGGAAGAGGGAAATGCTACATCCAAATGGCAGCACTGCCATGGTGTCTACTTACTCTTGAAAGAATCTTTCTTTGGTGATCCGATTCTACATGAGGTAGATAGTTAGAGCTATCTAATGTAAACGTTCATTACAAATACAATTTCAGTCATTGGACCCAACGAGTTTTGTTTTTTAAATTTTGGTTCTAGATTTTGTTGTATTGAGTTGAGGGTTCAAAGAATGTAATACAAAAAATTAGCTTAAAATTTTTCATCTTTTCAGAGAGGACGTAGTTCTATGTTACTGGCAAAACCCTATTAGCAAGGGATGAGTCTTACATATGTCTCTGGTAGGGTAATTCTCTTATGTTGTGTTTGCTTGCATATGGTAATTTAAAAAAGTAATTCATTTTTTTGAAGAATTTAAATTTTTTTACACTAAAATAACTTGTTTGAATAAGTAAATAGAAAGAAATTAAAATTTAAGAAGTTTTAGAAAGTATTTCATTCTATTTTATTTTATTCACGAAGGTTGAGTAGTTTAGGCGGAAGGTTGCTTTTATTTTTTTTTTGAATTGTTGAAATCCTTGAAGGTCATAACCAACCAGCCAAGAGTTTATCTAGTCAAAGGAAGCCAAGAACAAAGCAAAGGGATTTTTCTGCATAGCTTCCGGATTGGGAAGCATATGTTCTAGATTGAGTTTGTGAAGGAAAGTGACTTCCGAGACAAATTTTTGCCCAACTGAAACCCTGTGGGCTCAGCCACTACGAGAAGCATTTTCTTTAGAGAGAAAATTGATCGGACTTTAAGGCTTCCTCTTCCTCCCAGTTATAAATAGATGTGCGTGCTTGGTCTTTGTAATTTTCTCACTTTTAAGTTTAATGAATTGTTGTAGATTTGATTCCAACCTTTTTTAAGTCTTTCTTAGATTTCGACTTCTCTCGTTCTCTAACTTCCTTTCTCAACAGAAAGAGCTGTGAGGCTTCATACATACACCTTTTATTCACTCAAACATACATACACCTTTCATTCACTCAAACACATCAAACACCTTTATATTTTACTCCATTCCACTGCACTGGTTTAATGCTAACGTAACTTTGATTTGGACCTTCTTCTTTGGTGATTCATGCTTAGAGGAACCTCCATCACAAAGTCTCTTACAAATTGAACATAATAATTAATCTTGTAAACACAAGATATAGAAACCTAAACTAATGATAAGAACACTTAAAATATTAAAGCAAATAGGACATACTTGCTATTTCTATCTTGTGCAAGACAATTGCAACAAACGCTCATTAGCATTAAAATGAACGTTAATAAAAAAACAAAAAGGAAAGTTAATCAAATTATCACAAGTTGTGCCAAAAAAAAAAATAAGTCAAAACTACTTTTGATAAAAGCTTTGAAAAGCAAGTATGCTCTACAAAGAACACCATCCTACGACTGACATCTACGCTAATAGTAAAAAGAAAACAAATCTCAAGACAAGCTTTGTCAAAAACGGTTATATTCAAGACAAGCATCGTTACAACGACTATATCATCAAGGTATATAAATAGAAGATAAGAAGACAGAAGAAGATGATGATGAAGAGGAGAGAAAATATGAAGATATAAAGATATCTCATCATTCATTGAGCACAAAAATCTCTTTGAGCTATCAATACTAAATTCCTCCTATCAAGAAAAGGAAAAAGAGAAGAACTCAAGAAAATAAGTTGAATACTCTCAAGCTTCATCAGAACATCCACTTGAAGAAAGAGACGAGAGTGAAAGAGTGAAATATAGAAAAAAATCTCTCAAGCTTCATTGTAATATTTTTTACTTGTGATTGTAACAAGAGAAAGAGAGAAATAGTGAAGTAAAGCATCCCTCTAGTACTTCATTGTATTAAATTCTTACTTATGTAAGTAGAGAAAAACAGAGATGAGAGAAAAACCTATGAGTGTTTAGACTGCTTTGTATTGTAACATATCCTCTTTGTGAAAGTTATGGTCTAAACGACTTGTAATCAATCTATGATTGCAATTCTGGAGAGAATTAAAACACTTACAACTTAATTTTGAATGGTTAAAGAAATCTAGGCGAGGTCGTTTAGTACCAAGAGTGGTGCAAATACTCAACTGATCTAGAGTAATTGAAGGTTATTCGTTGATCAGGGATACCAGGAATGGTGAAGAATACTACACAACCAGAAGTGGTGAAACTCAACTAGGGATACCGGGAGTAGTGCGAATACTCAAGGAAATCTCGGCATGGTAGCTGAGTACCAAGAGTGGTGAGAATACCCAAGGGAATCTCAGTAGAGTTGTTGAGTACCAGGAGTGGTGCAAATACTCAAGGAAATCTCAGCAGGATACTTGAGTACCAAGAGTGGTGCAAATACTCAATTAATCTAGGGTAACTAGAGGTTATTCGCTGATTAGGGATATCAGGAGTGGTGAATAATACTACGCAACCAGAAGTGGGAGAAACTAAACTACACGATATTTCTCAAATGCGCGTCTAGGGAAACCAAGAGCGGTGAATAATACTACGCAACCAGAAGTGGAGGAAACTAAATTAGACGATGTTTCTCAGGTGCACTAGGAACGTCTAGGGATACCAGGAGTGGTGAATAATACTATGCAATCAAGAGTGAGTTAAACTCAAATGTAATTCATTGAATATCTAATGGAACCCTCTAAGTTAAGTTAGGGAAGAACTGGACGTATCCTTAACAGGTGAACCAGTATAAAACATTTGGTGTGTTTTAGTCTATTGATAAACGATGTAATGTAATTAGAGATTCAAGGCTCCCACTCTCATCATACTCCTCCCTCTGTTTAAAGTTATTGCTTATACATACAAACGTTGGACATACTGAGTTGGCCATGTAAACGATTATTCAGGATAACGTTTACCAACCAAGGGCTAACAACTCACAAAGTGTTAGATACGTCATGATTAACTTGCATATTGTGAAAAAGATGTGAAAATACTATTCAACCCCCTTCTAGTGTTTTCCCTCACCTTCAAAGATAATTTTTTCTAAATCTTTTTTAATCTAGCAAATATCTTCTCAAATATTTTTAGATATCCATATCAATCAAATATATCTTGAAGATAATGAATTATTTAGAAGATAAATATAGGATATTACATTATCCTAAAGAAGATTACAACAGTAGAAAAACTTGAAATAAAGCCCAATCTAATTTCTATGTAAATAGACTTAGGAAAACACATTAGTGGAGCTGAGGAACCGTTTGGGGGTTCAAATTTCGTCCTCTCTTTTCTCTCATGTTCTTCACCCTCTCTTCTTCTATTTTCATGTTATTTATACATTCCATGGATTGCTAAGCCTCTAGGGTTGATTTATCTGTAATTTCTTAATTAAATTATGAGGTTAGATGAATAAATTTGTTTGTTCCTTTTGATTCTTGTTGTGATTTATTTTTATCTGTCCTTTTTTCTTCTTAATTAAGTAATAATAATGATTTTTACATTATAACAAGTTAGCATGGTGTTAAATCTACATAACATATCAATCATATGAGTCCAAAGGTTTTTATTTTTAATCGAGAATTTACTTTGATCAAAGTTAAAAACTTTAATGTGATTGAACGAGTTTTTGCTGGTAATTGAGAATGTACTTTGATTAGTGGTAAGAAATTTAACAATAATTAATCAAAAATTTACTTTGGTTAATTAATTTTTTACTTGATATAAGAGGTAAAAGAATAAACATGATTAGGCATAATAATATTTAATTGAGAATGTATTTTGGTTAAATTTACTATGATTAATCTACAAAGCTTTTAATTTTAATTGAGAATGTAGTTTGGTAATAGCAAGAACACCAATAAATTAGTTGAGAATTTACATTGATTAATTTGAAAAAGTAAGACAATAATTAATTGAATAATAATCTTTAGATAACCAATGATGAATCCTATTTTGAAAAAGTAGTGAAATCAACCTATTTTCTTTATCATTGTGTTTATTTTTAAATCTTTTTTATAAATTTCTTTCTATCTTTTCTAAGTTTGTTCTTTAATCTTTTATTTTCTTTTATTACTTCCATTATTGTATTTGACTATCCCTTTTTGTATAGTTTTTTTATAAGAACTAATTTGTTAGAAATCAATTCCGTGTTCGTTGGAAAACAACTTAAGGTTGAATGTACTCTTTCTATTTTGTTGATAACTATCTTAACAATACTAAAATTGCTATAGTTTAGTAGTATTGATTTGATCGCGTAACCGACAACGTTATTAAATTTAGCGTCGTTGCTGGGGAACACGGTTAGAATTTTTATCATTTTGATTCTTATTTTATTTTATCACTAACATTTTCTTTTCTCTATTTTTTTTCACTATAATTTATTTTACTTTATTTTCTTTAGTTATTTTAGTTTAGTAAATTTGTTTTTTTTGGTTTTTTTTATCATAATTTTTGTTTGCAGAATTTTGTGGGGAAATTTGTGAAACCAGTTGGGGAACACTATGATTAATGAAGATAAGGTATTTAAGCGTTCCATTGAGATGCACCTCTTTTTCCTAGAAGTTTACTCAACAAACTTTCAACTTATTTCTTTTCAAAAGTGGGCATATAAGTACCAATATGAACGAAGTTTTGATTCTAGGTTATTAGTTGTTTAGTTGTTTTACACGTGTAATTTCACATATTTTCATTTTTTGCTATGTTTTATTAAATTCCTACCTTTGAATTTATCATTTCCTAATTAGGATAGCTTAGTTGTATAAATGATTGATATAGAGTTTTTAACTTGTTGCATATTCTAGGTAAGAAATTTTTAGTAGCATAAGAATTCATACAACTACATTCATTCCATATTTTTAAATTCCCCCACTGCATTCTGTTCAAGGATTAACTATACAATTTATACTTAATAAGAATCATTTCCACATATTCAATACCATGGTTGCCTTATACTACATTAGGGGAATTTTTCGTTTTTGTTAGTCTTATTGCGACAAAAAGGATTTTAACAGTATGTCTTGTGTGTGAATATATCAAGCATGTGCAATTGATTATTTTGTTCAAACTATTGGAAATTGTTAAGACAAAATTGTCAAGAGAATAGACCGTCTAAGCAACTCAGCTTTTAAAGTTTAACAAAAAACATTAAACGAAATATTTCCTTGTATAAAAAGTTGTTATAAAGAAATAGCATATAAGAGAAAAATAGTTTGTAACATCCTTGATAGGTGAAATCAAGCTCACAATAACGATTTCTAAACTGAACTATCCAATAATCAAAGTTTATGAACAACGTTTAAGGAAAGAAAGCGTCTCTATT